AGTAAAGTTTCTCACTACATGTACTACTAGACACAGCTTCTTACTTGTCTAGTACTTCACTACATGTACTACTAGACACAGCTTCTTACTTGTCTAGTACTTCACTACATGTACTACTAGACACAGCTTCTTACTTGTCTAGTACTTCACTACATGTACTACTAGACACAGCTTCTTACTTGCCTAGTACTTCACTACATGTACTACTAGACACAGCTTCTTGCTTGTCTAGTACTTCACTACATGTACTACTAGACATAGCTTCTTTCTAGTGTATTTTCTTGCTGTGTGTAGTACTAGACAAGATATTGATTTCAAGATGGTTGGTGTTACAGCCGACTAATTCTTACCTACACATCTTACTTTACAATAACAAAATGTATCTTTGAAATTCCAACTTTTTTTAAAAAATCAAAATGTTTTTTGGGTAAAAATATTCAGACATTTTAAAATTATGGTTAATAGAGTTAACAGCAAAATAAGGAATGGTATAAAGATAGAGTGATCCTAAAGAAAATACTTTAGGCTGATTTGAAGTAGTGTATGTTTAATTTTTTGTGAGTGATATTTTAATGTATTTTTATTATTATTATCAAACACCTACAGTATTTCTGGTATTCAGAGAATGTGCAGCATTGCTTCTACCAGCTGTTTCTTTCATAATTGTAAAATAAATTTTAAAAAGCATAATATTTTATATTGCAATAAATCAGATGTAGCCTATTAAACCTAATTTCAACTAAGTGCAGTACTTTTTATATTGTTATGAATGGTTTTATGATGTGTTTTTTTTTGTGTGTCATAAAAATGAACATCTTTACCTTTAGGGTGAAGAGGATTATACCAATTGTCACAAGCATATGCCAATAGCAGTAACATGGGGAGTTTTCCCTGGGAAGGAAATAATCCAGCCAACAGTGGTAGATCCTGTTAGTTTTAAAGTATGGAAGGTAAGTCTTCATCTTGTTAACTTACAAATTTGATTTATATATTCAAGTAATAATTTGCAGTAGTAACAGATCTTTTTTCAAATTATAGTTCATTAGTGCTATCGTGAAAGCTGGCCATTTATGAGAAAGTTCCTAAACCTTGAAGTGTAGAAAATAAACAGTCATGTTAGTGCTGTAACACAAACAAAAAAAATGTGTAATCTTAAGTATTGTTTATTAATTATATGAGTTGAAAGTTTTTGATATTGACAAACTTACAGAAAGTTTACACTAAAAGAAAGATCTGTCAGGTTGAAGAATAATAGTGTAAGGCAAAATCAGCTGAAACTTTAGACTACAAAACTCAATCTTTTCAACTTATATGTTAGGTAAGTAAGCCTGAAATTAAGTACATCTTGAATCTTAATAGTATAAACAACAGTTAGCTGTAGATTTAGACAATTAGACAAAGCTTTGTTGGTGTCAGAGTTGGTAATACAAGTGAAAGTTAGCTATAGGTTTTAAACTATTGGAAGAAGGTTTATCAGTTTCATAGCCTATACTATACTATACTTTATAGAAACATGTTGAATTTGCTAATGTATTGATGTTTCTAAGGTCATCAAATTTAGCACCTAAATATGTATTTCAAGGCAAGTTCTTAACTGTTTGACAGATTATAAGAATATGTTTTTAGCAAGAATATTAAACAATAAAGAGCCAAAGGAATCAACATTTTGAAGAAGTGTCGTGTGATCAGTACCAAGAAGGGAATGAAGTTAATTTGTTTCATCGATGAATAAGTTACAGGTAGCTAGCCATGATGCAGTAAGTTACAGGTAGCTAGCCATGATGCAGTAAGTTACAGGTAGCTAGCCATGATGCAGTAAGTTACAGGTAGCTAGCCATGACACAGTAAGTTACAGGTAGCTAGCCATGACACAGTAAGTTACAGGTAGCGAGCCATGACACAGTAAGTTACAGGTAGCTAGCCATGACACAGTAAGTTACAGGTAGCAGCCATGACACAGTAAGTTACAGGTAGCGAGCCATGACACAATAAGTTACATGTAGCTAGCCATGGCACAGTAAGTTACAGGTAGCGAGCCATGGCACAGTAAGTTACAGGTAGCGAGCCATGGCACAGTAAGTTACAGGTAGCGAGCCATGGCACAGTAAGTTACAGGTAGCGAGCCATGACACAGTAAGATACAGGTAGCGAGCCATGACACAGTAAGATACAGGTAGCGAGCCGTGACACGGTAAGATACAGGTAGCGAGCCGTGACACGGTAAGTTACAGGTAGCGAGCCGTGACACGGTAAGTTACAGGTAGCGAGCCGTGACACGGTAAGTTACAGGTAGCGAGCCGTGACACGGTAAGTTACAGGTAGCGAGCCGTGACACGGTAAGTTACAGGTAGCGAGCCGTGACACGGTAAGTTACAGGTAGCGAGCCGTGACACGGTAAGTTACAGGTAGCGAGCCGTGGCACGGTAAGTTACAGGTAGCGAGCCGTGGCACGGTAAGTTACAGGTAGCGAGCCAGTGTAGATGATGTAATATCCTCTGATTTGCGATTAAACATACAACAGAGTGAGATGTCAAAACGCAGTTCACCCCTTCGATTATGAGCCCTCTTCCTATCCTCGTGTGGATGTTGGTGCCCCATGGGCTGGTTTTGGTTTTCGAGTGAACCAACCAACATAAGTCCTCACACAGGTTTCATGTTGTCTATCTTCCATTTTTGATTCCTCCTTCTATGTTGTGGGTCATAGTTGAAATACGTGGAACTATTCCAGTTCTATCCTTGGCTCTCCCTCATTCTCTCTTGTTACGTGGATGTTATTGCCCTTTGGATGGTCTCGACCTGTTTCACAGTTACAGGCACTGTTTCATGCAATATACTTCCTTTTGATACTGGATGTCACATTCCCGGATTGATATTTAAGAGCTCATCTTGTGTAATACCCAGGAATCGGAGTGGTTCTGAATTCCCTGATTCTTGGGTTTGAGGTGAAGATGGTATGATCTTCATCCTACCCTTGCATGAATGTCGGTACCCTGCGAGGAGGTTTTGGATGTAGTTGACTTGCCAGGTATGATCCACTGCACCTTAGCCACTCTACACCATGGGATGAACCCTTATTTACCCAGTTTTTTATTGTGGGATTGAGTTATTTTATCTTTCTCTGGTTAGGATCACTTTCCTACTGCTTTCTCTCCAACTGGGATGTGCTCCTCTCATTTTCTGCCCTGATTTTTACACATTCCACAACTGGGTGAAGAGTATACCTGGATCAAAAGTGGTGCAGTTCCCCTCTCCAGATCTTTGGATCTGACTCTCTCATCTACAGGTGTATCCTTTGGACACTTTTGAATGAAGTGTTAGAACTACTTGCAGGTAGTTAGGAATACTACTTGGAAGGTTGACAGAATACAAAGAAAATATGGGTTAAAAATTCATGTCTGGAGCCAAAAAATGAGTTGTTCTTGAGCTCCTTAGAGTTATCCTCAGGAAGAATCAGCATTTTCCAGTTTCCAACCTCTATGAATATGAAGGTCTCAAACCTCCAGAAGTATACTGGCCCAGCTCTGTTCTAAGTATAGAATTATTATCTCTCTTGATCAATTAATTTAGTTCATTGGTAAAGGATATTCATGTTTATATTAGAGAAATGTACTCTATATGTACTGGTCATTGGTGCTGATTAAAAGTAATAGTAAACATTATGAGGAATTAATGATTAATAAACTGTTGTCTAATATTGTATGTAGTTCATTGGTAAAGGATATTCATGTTTATATTAGAGAAATGTACTCTATATGTACTGGTCATTGGTGCTGATTAAAAGTAATAGTAAACATTATGAGGAATTAATGATTAATAAACTGTTGTCTAATATTGTATGTAGTTCATTGGTAAAGGATATTCATGTTTATATTAGAGAAATGTACTCTATATGTACTGGTCATATAGCTGGCACAGTCGACAAGATTTTTGAAATAGCTAACAACAGGTTGGTTAGAGTGAAGAAAGGTGGAAAAAGTAAGAAAGTCAGCGAAGTACTATAACTGGTATAAGTTAAAATAAGTAGTAAGTAAGTGAATATGACTACTACTGGTATAGACACGACTACAAAACAGGGTGGTACACGCCCTAGAGTCAATAGAAGGGCTGTAACTGGCTATGAAGCTGAGGCAGAAGAACCTGCACAAGTAAGCTCACAGTGCTATACATTTAACGAGTGCCATACTGTTATATCACGGTAGAGTAAACGAGGATGTCAAGAGCTTTATTGATGCCTTAAACGAATGCTGCCAGAATATCAGGCTGGACTGATCCCCAGAAGGCAGACATATTAAGATTAAGAACAGCAGGAGAAGCAAAACACTATATTAGGGCTTATAATGAACTACGTGAAACCACAGATTTTGAGTATCTAGTACGTAGGTTAGTCGAGGAGTATAGGAAATGAGAAACAACAAATGTAATTGTAACAGAGATGCACAATTTAACTCAGCAACGAGGCGAATCTGTCAGAGTTTTTGGGCATAAGTTCAGGAGTTAGGTAATAGATTGTGTAGGGCTTATATGCACCTGAACAAGTTGATGATACAAGATATTTTAAAATCTGAATATTAACAAGGGTTATACAGTAACGCAGCTAGATGTTATGTAAATGAAGCAAATACCCCTCAAGCAACTTTGCTTGATCTGACTGAAGTAGCTACTCAAGAGGGACTATGAGAAAAACAGATATACAGGCCTCAACATTCTGCTGTAAATGTAATAAATAGACTTAACAAAGCAGATTAGCAAAATAGACAAAGTAAGCCCAATGGCCTCCAGTGTTTCAACTGTGGCAAAGTTGGACACAAAGCAAGGAACTGCTTTCAAAACCAGAAAAGAAATGAGCAAATAGCATGTTTTAATTGTGGTAGTACAGCCCACATGGCACTAGATTGCTGACGCCTACGAAAGGCAGAAAACAGATAAGCCCCCAAAAGCTGGAGCTTATAGAGGAAAGTTCCCAAAAAATAACGGTAACCCTACATTCGCTGTAGGATCAAAAAATGTAATCCCTGTCGAGATTACAGAGCAAAAGTAGAGGTAGTTCCAGCAGTTTGGGATAAAAGATTGAGTGTCCATAATGTTAATGAAGTGTCACCAATAGTTGTAGTAGAAATAGAGTGTACATATGAAAGTAGGAAAGTTAGAGTTAGAACATTCATTTTATATCTGTAAGCAGATAGACTTAGAAACAGATGGTATCATAGGGCAAGATTTCTTAAGGGCTTATAACACTGAAATATCTCTTACTTCGGATAAGCTACGTGTAGAAACAGAGATCTTAAATTTTGAAGGACTTGAACCTTCAGACTTATGTGCAACAGATGAGACACAAGATACCTTCCCTCTGGCTAAAGTTAATAGTCAGACATCTAACGCTAGCGTTAGCAAGGTTAAGGATCAACAGTCAAAACACTAGCAATACACGACAAAGTAGTAGAAGTAAGAATAAGAAGTGTTTTAACGGAAAGCCAGGGAATAAGAGTAATGACATGCATATTGGCAATGTTGTATTTATAGGTTTCAGTCAGCAATGTCAACCATAACTCGTTTTTTTTTTACTTGGTTCTTTGACAGAGGTTTTTGTATCTTCTACAATTACCAATAGTTATGGCGGCTTTATCGACTACTGTTTGATTATCATAACTACATATTTTTTGAGTTGAGTCTCCAGTACTCTCCAGATTTCTCGCATCATTTTGGGTAATTGGTTCCAAATGACCATTCCAGTTACGTATGAGGTAGAATAAGGTTACGTGATATTTCTGTACACCTGTTTGTGACCTGACTCTTATATGACATGTATCCCCTTTACCTGCTAGTTTATTTTTCATGGTTGATGACCTACAGACATCTCCAGTTGATGTAATTTGTGCTGTTTGTCTATAGACCACTTTCATATTTTCTGTATGTCCTCAGACCAGTTCTTCTTATCCAACACTCTGTCAGA